AAGGCTGGCGGTTCAAACCCACCAGCCACTCCTCAGAAGGAAGGTTGGGCAATCTACTCCCGTAGTGATACTGCCTCAGAAACCCAAGGAGGGGTCGCTATGAGTCGGGTCCAATCCACGGCATGTAACAACAACAACAGGGAAGGTGGTGCTAGACACTGTTGCTCACGGCTGGGTTGGGATTTCTGAAGCCATGTTTCTTCTAGGCTCCCCAAACCTAAGGACAAGGCCCCCACCACGCAGAGAATCCAGCCTGGTATGTGTTCTGATTGGTATTTCCTTTTCTCATTCCTTTTCTAAGGGTGCACTGTAGTAGCCTCACAATTAATTGGCTGTTTTTGCTGTTGGTCCAGAGGTTTCCAGGGCACTGCTGGGGCTTCCAGCTTGGTGGGGGTGAGGGTGGGGGTGAGGGCGAAGAGGGAAGCCTGCAGACCCCAGCCTTTCTGGAGGCTCAGCTGGATGGTTTGTAATTTGGTAACCCACTGTACTGCAAAGCTAAATAAATCTATCCCCAGCCATTGCACTGGCAGACATAAACATTTAGACTGGCCGGCGAGTGTGCCCAGGCAGGGTTTTGCCAGGGGCTGGAAATGGGACTGCTGTCTATGCTAACCTGGAGGCTTGTCAGCTCTGTTTTGCTCAAAACTGCCCAGCGGATGTAGCTAGATGCCAGAGCTGGGAGGGCCAACCAGAGAGGGGGCAGTGTCAAGGTCTGGCACGTGCAGAGTCTAACTCTCTGGGGTCTCTGGCTCCTGTAGCTGGGGTTTCCTGGCATTCAGATCCACAGGCAACAAACATGGATCCAAGAGCTGGAGTTGGAGGCACCAGCAATAGTGGTGGAAGGCTAAGAGTCCTAGAAACAGGGAATTACTATTAGAGCCACTGGGGTATGGTGGTTAGCAAGGAGCTTCATGTCAGGCAGACATGGATTCATAGTCCACGTCTGACACTGAGGAGCAGCGAGACCCTGGGCCAGTCACCCCTCCAGAAGCCTCAATTTCCTTATCTGTAACGTGAAGACAGTACCTGCCATCTCCTAGGATTGTTGTAAGGATTAAATGAGATGATGGATGTTGAGGACTGGCAAACGGGTTTCCCTTTCCTGCGTGGGCACTGTGTTGAGAAGGATTCTGAAGTCACTTCTGAGCTCAGCAGCAAGTCTGCTGTGAGGAGTGGTGCATGGCACCTGCCCTGGGTGCAGGAGAAGGGATGGTAGCAGTGCCTGGAGGGAGAGGCCCTCAGTGAACATAGGATGTTTGAAGACCTGGGCCCTGGCCATGCACCCTCCTTGCCCTAGGCCACAGCCCTAGTGGAGTTTCTCTCTTTTCTCCTTGGGTTTTACATTGCTAAACAATGTGTTCTTTCCTCCCATCTTTTTTACCCCAGCTAATTATTCTCAGGCAGACTTGATTTTGGCAAGAGTGGGATAATTCCTTCCACACTCACCAAATGCAGGGATGGCTGAGACTGGGCTGCTGTTTCCAGTTAGGACCAACTAATTGTGGCCGGCCAGGGGTCCAGACTAGGCCAGGCTGGGGCCACATCTACTCACAGGCACAGCTTCAGGGCCAGGCACCAGGGCTTGGAAGGCTATCTAATTCACACCACATCTCTCCAAACCAGCTTCATCCCACTACTTAACCAAGGCAGCTAGCGTTTGACTGGCAGGGTTAGAACATGCTGAACCTTGAAGGGCAAGGAGTGATGGAGGAATTTAGAAGAGTGTCAGGTGAGTTCAGCTTGATATTCATTGAGCACAGCCCGAGCCCTGGTGCCGGGCCAGAAGTCATGTCCATTATCTCTTGAATCCCCTCACTGACCCTGTTATTAGTTCCATTTGACAGATGATGAAATTGAGGCTCAGAGAAGTCAAGGGCCTGCCCACAGTCACACAGCATAGCTGTGACTTGCTGAGCTGGGACTGGAGCTTGCATTGGTCCAGCTCAAAGGCAGAGGTCTCCTGAGGTCTTCCTGCTACATCACAGCTGCTTCCCCATCTCCTCCACTTTTTAAAAATTGTTTTAACCTTTTTGTAGGAGAGAACAGTATAGGGAGTAATGGGGAGGTATGATATCCACTGAAATAGAGACTGTGGGTGAGGCCAGAACATCTGCTTCAGGAGGGCGGGGTTTGTCCATTTGCTTCACTGCTGGGTACCTAGTGTCTTAGAACAGTGTCTGGCACCCAGGAGGCCTATAGTAGATGTTTGTAAAATGAACAAGACTAGCAGATCATGGGTCACATTGTACATGTCCTTGAAAGTCATGTTTACAAATTGACATGCTAACATCTGAAAAAATATTTAGGCTTTCCAGCGGGTCCTGCCCTTCCCTGCCCGCAGAAATAAAGGACCTGAGTTTTATTCAGCATTTGCCTAACTGTTTGGCATTGTCATGATGACCAACCGAGGGCTCTTCGCACCCAGCCCCACCACCCCCTACACTCCCGCCAACCCTTCGTGGTGGGTGCACTGCCTTGCTCTGCCTGTGCTGCCCGAAGTCACACCAGCAGTCCCACCTACTTAGCCTTAAGGATGGTTGCTCTCCCCTCCTGCAGGACAGTGTACATGGGCTCTGTTACCACCATTCCTCTGCTTTTTAAGTTTCATTTTGGGACCCAGCTGTTGGGGCATCTGGAAGCTGGACTTCCAGAGAGGTTAAAAAAAAAAAAAAAAAACCTCGCCTTGACTCGTGGCAACCACATGGGTGTCACAAGAGAACTGTGCTCCACGTGGTGTCCAGTGGCTGACTTTTCGTCAGAAGTAGATCATCAGGCCTTTCTGCTGAGGCACTAGGTGAACTCGAACCCCTGACCTTTCCATTAGCAGCTGAGAACATGAACCGTTTGCACCTCGCAGGGGCTTCTCAGAGATGTAAGGGTAGGAGTTACTGAGTTAATGACGATCATTTTGATAGCTCAGACAAGCCATGGGTGAATCAGAGGATTGTTAGAAAGCGTTGTCTGAATGCTCTCTCTGGGCACTCACCGTCATATTCAGCCACGCTCACCTCCTGCCAACTGAGCAGGACCAGTCGTTGGCCTTGTTCCTGTCCTGCTCTGGTTGGTTGGTGCTCACTGGGTCTTTCTTTGTCAGGGGTTCCAGCTGCCGAAGCCACCAGCGCCCCCTTCTGTTGAAGTGGAGTACTACACAATTGCCGAATTCCAGTCATGCATCTCCGATGGGATCAGCTTTCGGGGAGGACAGAAGGCAGAGGTGAGCTCTGGGCGGTGAGGCCAAGTGTTTCAGTTCATATTGGTCAGAGGCCCACCACGTTCTTATTTTATGTCATGCCCACATCCCTCCTGAGGGGTGGGTAGGAATGGTGAAGCCAGGAGGCCTACAGGGGTATGAATTTGCCAAAAGCTAGTAAGTACCACAGGCAGGACTAGAACCCAGGACTCCCTGGGTGTGCCATGTCCCTCCTTCACAGCAGTGTTTCCCAGTGTATTATAGAAACTGGTAATGGGCTACCTTGACATAAGGGGGTTCTGTGGTCATGGGAGTTTGGAGGACAGTGGATTAGATGAAATCCAGCCAGTTTTTTTTGTTTTTGTTGTTGCCCTTCTCAGAGCACTGTGAACTCTCTAAAAGGAGACCCATTCAGCCCCAGGAGCAGCTCAGGCCAGGATTCTGTAGAATCTACTTTAGGAAGTACTGGTGTTGGGATAATGGGGTCCAAACAAGTCAAATAATGGGGACACAGGGCCTTGTCACTTCCATACCATCGGCACCTTCTCCCCCTAGTTTTTGATTATTTCTCTCTGCAAAATGGGTTAACAAACCCTGTGATTCCTCTCCCACTCTTCTCCTAACGTTTACAGAACTGCTGCTTTGTGGCTGGTCCTGAACATGGTATCCAGGGGCCAGAGAAGATCTGTGACTGGAGCATTTCCCTTGAATGGCTTTATTCAGTAATGGAGTTAAATCCAGTCACTACATGTGAAACTGACAGGTTAATTGGGCAGTCTCTTCTATTGAAGGGGTGGTGTCTCCAATGTGAATGTTTTAAATCACATGTCTGGAACTTGGAAGTAAATTTCCAAGCAAAGTCATTCTCACAATAATTTCCAGAAGAGCCTACCAAAGACTCATAACATAGCCAAACTATTAGACTTAGGATCCAACCTTGAGCTCGAGTTCAGGAACTGGAGGGAGGGCAAGGTGAAAGATGGGCTGTGGGACCAGAGGAAAGAAGAGGAGGACGTCTTTGTTTCCTCTTGGGGGCTACCAGCAGCACTGACATTTCTTGACATTGTCTATCCTCCCTCCTTGCTTGCCTTTCTTCCTGTGGTACCAGTATTTTCTATCCTTCCTCTTCCCTGATACCTCTTCCTCCAAGAGTATCACATGATCCAAAATTATCTTTCTTTTACGTTCTCCAGTCCCAATGAACCCCAGCCCAACCAGCAACCACACTTCTGGTCTTTAACCAATCTCAAAAGAATCTTCTTTTTTTTTTTTTTTTTAATTGTGATTTGCGTCAAAATTACAGAGCAAATTCATTTTCCATGCAGCAGTTCACATACACTTTGTCTCATGACATCGACCACAATTTACCACAATGCAACAGCCCCCTTCCTACTTCCATCCGATAGTTACCTCTTCCCTGTGTCCATCCCTCCATGCACTCCTGCCCCCTGAGCTGTCTCCCTGTGCATAAGCAGCCCTTCTTTCTCCCATGATTGTTCTCTCCAAGGATTGTATCTACCTCAGGTAAATGTTCAGCTCCTATGCCTGTCTACTGTTTGGCCGGAAGCCACAGGTGTGGGTTCAGTTCCAGACCTGAAGAGCAGCTAGGGGCCATAGTCTCAGTGGTTCCACCAGGCTCTATCGGACCAGCAAACCTGGTCCCTCTTTTTTTTTTTTCTCCAAATGATTTTGAGTTTTGTTCCACATTGTTCTCCCTCTCTATCCAGGATCCCCTACATAGATCCCCTTCCAAGTGGTTGACAGTAGTAGCTGGGCACCATCTAGTTCTTCTCGTCTCGTAGTCATGTAGGATTGCATGGTGTACCAGTCGCCGGGACTAATTGTTTCCATGAATCTTTGGTTTTCTTCATTCTTCTTTGCTCCGGACGAGGAGAGACCCATCATTGCATCTAGATGGCAGCTTGCAAGCTTTTAAGATCCCAGTCGCTACTCGCCAAAGTAGGAGGTGGAACAGTGTTTTGTGTAGTTGTTGTGTTGTTGTTGTTATGTGCCGTTGAGTCGGACCCAACTCATAGCGACCCCTCCTTGGGTTTCCAAGGCAGTATCACTGTGGAAGTAGATTCCCCAACCTTCCTTCTGAGGAGTGGCTGGTGGGTTTGAACCACCAGCCTTCTGATTAGCAGTCAAGTGCCTTAGGCACCACACTACCAGAGCTCCTGTAGAGTGCTATTTTTGTGTAGTATGTTATGCCAATCGAGCTTGATGTCCTCTGTGACTTTGGTCCTGAGCCCACAGGTTCAACTACTCGATCCCTCTGGGTAGCTGGCTGTGACCAAGCAGTGACTACAGCCTTGCCCCTTGTCAGCTGTACTATACACCTGGGAATTCAGATCATACACATAAACTTATAGGACCATTGTCTGTCAACCCTATACATGTTCTTAGGTACACTCCCCATTTCATAGACATACCTAATAGTTCAGCCTGTCCACCCATCTATCCACCCATATACCCATGTTTGCTTTCACTGACAACGCAATACTGTATGTGCAAAAGAGTTCATCTTTGTTGTCTGTACCTCCCACGTACCTCTCTATGTCTTTCTCTTCCTCAATGCCACCATATTGGTCACTCACATTTGGTACATTGCCCTTCTCTTCACCCAAATCAATACTTATCTCTATCTATCTAACAGTGTTCCCTCCCCTCCCCTCCCACCCCTGGTAACCAATAAAGAAAATTTCCTTCCATAGATAAATGTTTCCTTGACTTCAAACAAATTTTCTTGAACTAGTTTATGCTAATGTAGACATGACTGACAACCCTTCACCCTTCACACAGGAAACCGTTCAAACCAAAGAGATCCCTCCAGCCTGTGTGATTGGACACAAAGTTGAAATGACCATAGGCAGTAGGGACACTAGGGAGGTACTCCATGGAGAAGCTCTAGCTTTGGGTCTGTACCTCCCAGTTCAGCTAAACTGCATTTTCCCATCCTCTTCTGACCCAAGAGACCCTTTCAAAGTTCTGGACTTTAAGGAGGACCTGGCAGGATGAGGTAGCAGATTTGTATAGATGTGAGTTCTTCGTGAATTGAGTTTTATGGTGCTGTAGCTTAGAGGCAGATGAGAATGTAGGGTCTGTAGAGGAGGCCAGCCAGAGCAGGAGAAAGAGACTTAGAGAGAGAGAACCCCTCAGAACCATAAATGATAGAGAGAAACCCAGGTGTGAATTCTGGCCTCACTACTTGTGTAAGGAGCTCTGGTGGTACAGTGGGTAAGGCATTTGGCTGCTAACCAAAAGGTAAGAGATTCAAACCCACCAGTTTCTCTGCAGGAGGCAGGGAGACAATCTACTTCCATAAAGATTTACAGCCTTGGAAACCCAATGGGGGTCACTGTGAGTCAGAATCGACTCAATGGCAGTGGGTTGCATTGATTCCAGGGCCACTTGGCAGCTCAGTTTGCTCATCTGTAAAGGGGAGGTGTCTCCTAGAGCCAAGGTATGAAGTTCTTAGAAACTCATTTGTAAAGGGGAGATGTCTCTTAGAGCCAAAGTATGAAGCTCCTAGCCTGGCACGTCACAGGATCCCAGTGGTCCTCCCAACTCCCTGACCTGTCTGTCTCCTTCCTCCCCCTAGGTCATTGATAAGAACTCAGGCGGCTGGTGGTACGTGCAGATTGGTGACAAGGAGGGCTGGGCCCCTGCGTCCTACATTGATAAGCGCAAGAAGCCCAACTTGAACCGCCGCACAAGCACCCTGACCCGGCCCAAGGTACCCCCGCCAGCTCCCCCCAGCAAACCCAAGGAGGCCGAGGAGGGGCCGGTGGGCACCAGTGAGAACCAGGACTCCCCGCTGAAGCTCAAGTACGAGGAGCCTGAGTATGACATCCCTGCCTTCGGCTTTGACTCAGAGCCAGAGCTGAGTGAGGAGCCCACGGAGGACAGCGGCTCAGGGGACAGGCGGCCCACCCAGCCCCACAGGCCCTCACCCGCCTCATCACTGCAGCGGGCCCGCTTCAAGGTGGGCGAGTCTTCAGAGGACGTGGCCCTGGAAGAGGAGACCATTTATGAGAACGAAGGCTTCCGGCCTTTTGCAGAGGATGCCCTGTCAGCTAGAGGCTCCTCCGGGGACAGCGATTCCCCAGGGGGCTCCTCACTGTCCCTTGCCAGGAAAAACTCCCCCAAGTCGGGCTCCCCCAAGTCCTCATCACTCCTAAAGCTCAAGGCAGAGAAGAATGCCCAGGCCGAGCTGGGGAAGAACCACTCCTCGGCCTCCTTCTCCTCCTCCATCACCATCAATACCACCTGCTCCTCTTCTTCCTCCTCCTCCTCCTCGTCCAAGAACAGTGGTGACCTGAAGCCCCGCTCTGCCTCAGACGCAGGCATCCGCGGCACTCCCAAAGTCGGGGCACGGAAGGATGTTGACGTGAAGGCTGGCCTGTCCTGTGCCCGGGCCAAGCCATCAGTTCGGCCCAAGCCCTTCCTGAACCGAGCAGAGTCCCAGAGCCAGGAGAAGATGGACATCAGCACTTTACGGCGCCAACTGAGGCCCACGGGCCAGCTCCGCGGTGGCCTCAGGGGTTCCAAGAGCGAGGATTCAGAGCTGCCCCCCACCTCAGCCTTGGAGAGTCCCAGTGAGGGGCCCAGAAGGGGCTCAGCTGATCTGATCACCCTCCCTGTTCCCACCCCCCCATGTCCCACCAAGAAAGAGCGGGAAGGGCCGGCCACTTCCTATATAACATGCAGTGCCTACCAGAAAGTGCAGGACTCAGAGATCAGCTTCCCCGCAGGCGTGGAGGTGCAAGTGCTTGAGAAGTTAGAAAGTGGATGGTGGTATGTGAGGTTTGGGGAGCTGGAGGGCTGGGCCCCTTCCCACTACCTGGTGCTTGGCGAGAACGAGCAACCTGAGCCCTCTGGCAACGAGTTGGACCAAGTAACCACCAAGAGCAAGCAGAACGAGGGCAAGTCAGACAGCCTGGAGAAGATCGAGAAGCGGGTCCAGGCGCTAAACACCGTCAACCAGAGCAAGAGGGCCACACCACCCATCCCCTCCAAGCCACCCGGGGGCTTCGGCAAGACCTCCAGTGCCAGCATGGTGAAGATGCGAAATGGCGTGCGGCAGGTGGCAGTGAGGCCTCAGTCGGTGTTTGTGTCCCCACCACCCAAGGACAACAACCTGTCCTGTGCCCTGCGGAGGAATGAGTCCCTCACGGCCACCGACAACCTTCGAGGTGTCCGCCGGAACTCCTCCTTCAGCACTGCCAGCTCAGCTGCGGCAGAGGCCAAGGGCCGCCTTGCCGAGCGGGCCGCCAGCCAGGGCTCAGACGCACCCCTACTGCCCACCCAACGCAATGGCATCCCCGTGTCCCCTGTACGCCCCAAGCCCATTGAGAAGTCCCAGTTCATCCATAACAACCTTAAAGACGTGTACGTCTCGATCGCAGACTACGAGGGTGATGAGGAGACAGCAGGCTTCCAGGAGGGAGTGTCCATGGAGGTTCTGGAGAGGAACCCCAATGGCTGGTGGTACTGCCAGATCCTGGATGGGGTGAAGCCCTTCAAAGGCTGGGTGCCCTCCAACTACCTTGAGAAAAAGAACTAACTCAGGGCCTGGGGGCTTCCGGCCTCAGTGTGCTGCCATGGCCACCACAGTGGATGAGCAGCGGGACAAAAGGGAAAGCGGGAGGGGGTGGGGCCAACATTCAGCCCTGCATATGTGCGGCCTCAAAGATGCTGCCTCCAGGCTATGACCCCATCTGGAAGATGGGGTATGGCGGGGCCCACGTTGAGCAGGGTGGGCAACAGGCAGGGGAATCAGGCTGGACCCTGGGGAGAGACTACTCAGATCCACGTGTGTACCCTGGTGACTTTGCTGCTGGATTCCACGCCATTTGGGACCCACAACATTGGAAACCCCAACTGTGCCTTGGATGCAGATCTGGAACAGAGTTGGCACAGGTGCATACATACCATCCCCCACACCCCCCCCGTGCCCTGCCCTGCTTCAGTTGCTGGCATCTGGACTGCTGGAGGCTGCCCTTATATGGTCCTGATCTGTGTCTCATGAATGGTGCTGGGTTTCCCAGGGATTGCTCTGCCTCACCATGGTGGGTGTGTCAAGACACCATTGGCTCTGGGGCGTGGAGTTGGCACCTGTGAGCTCAGCCAGCTTCTGAGCTGAGTCATTGTCAATGAGGAAAAAGTAGTGCCCCTGGTGCCACCAAACATCACCTTTCTTAGCAGTCACTGCCCCAGCCCTCCATGGGGCACCCCATGGATGACACATTCGGTACCACAGTTTACAGAGAGTGAGTGGAGCCCTCAGTCTCCTCCCAGTCTGCATGGACTTGATTTGGGATATTTCTGGGTGGGCCATTCCTTTGCATGTTTGGGGAGAGGTTTATTGATTTGGAGCTTGTAGGTTAGGCCATTGGTTTTGGTCTTCTTTTAGGGTTGGTCACTCTGCAAAAGGGATGAGTGGTGGGTGGGGCTTTTCTGGTGTATTGTTGTGGGGGTGGTTTGGTTTGGTTTGGTTTGGTTTGGTTTACTGTTATTCCCCCCCCCCCATAAGCCAAAGCCGTTCATTTGGTTTCCACTGTGTGAACAGTACCAAAGCATGGCGCTCGCCAATGGGGTGAGGGGCTGGACAGACCCGGATTCCAGACCCGGCGAAGCAGTCTTGGTGAGGCAAAAACCCTCCCCAGGAGGGAAGAGGGTCGTGTTTAGGTGGCAAGAAGGACTGCGGGGCAACCGTCTCTGAGTATGATCTGCCGCCTGAGCAGAGCAGAAGCCTCGTGGGTTAGTGTGGAGGAGCAAGCACCGCTGCTGCCCTGGGCTTAGGGCCCCGAGAGGCCCGCTGGGCCAGGCTGGAGTCCCATCACCAGCCTCCTTTGGCCTGCTGGTGATGCCACAGGTGCCCAAGAAGAGGGATCGCTGTGCCAGGAGCCAGCCTGGTCTTCTGAGGGGCAGTGCCCCAATGAAGAGAGGAACGAAAGAGTCAAGTTCCAAGTCCCGTGTTGTGTTGACTTTGGGTTGTAGTTTTCAGTTGTTGGTGTTCTGGAGGGGACACTCCAGAAGCTGCACCAGCTTCCCAAGGACTCCCCTTTGCTGGGAGTGGATTTCCACACGTGCCTTTGACTTCCGACAGGGCAGGCTTCACAGCCAAGACTCCGCTGCCAGAATTCCTGGACTAAGGGTTGGTGTTTCCTACAAAGGAAGAAAGGCCCTCCCTCCACCCCTGCTCCTTGGCCTGAAGATATGCATGGGACCCAGAGTCTGTGTCCCTTCAAGGCTCCCACCCATCCTCCCAGACCCTGGAAGCCTTGCCTGTGGCCTCCCAAACACCCTCGCCCCTCGCCATACACTGATGCCCCCAGCAGCTCTAGCAACGGCTCATGTTGTCCGTCAAAGGGCCATGGTGAGATTGTTTGGTTTTGTTTGTGAGTTTGTTTAAAAATTGAAACTAGTTCTTTTCTTCTGCTGGACAGTACTAAATAGAGCTGGATGTTGAGTTAATCTGCTAGATTGCAGTACTAATGGTAGTGGTGTAGTGTCTTCATAGTAATATTATTTTTACTTATTTGAACAATAATGATAAAGAAGTGGTTCATTACCTTTTAATTAATGCACTTTAGTAAGATAACATGGAAGAAAACCCAGAGAGCAAAGTGCATTACTTAAAGATGCAGTATATACTTTCCTCATTTTAAAACAGCACATATTTATTAAAAGAAAAAAAAAATAATTTATGATTATTTAAAATAAAATTTAAAAGTAGAGTGTTCGGTTAACGGACCTTCCGCGTAGCTATCTTCCAGGGGGAGGCCCTGGTGGCCTCGTTCCTCCGATGTCTTTACTGAGCCAGTTCCATCATTAGCGCACCAGCCAGGTGAGGGAGGGGTGCAGGAGACACCTGCCAGGACCGGACGACAGTGATGGCCGGAGCCTGCCTTCCCTGCCCCTCCTTTGCCCCGTGGGGCTCTCCACCAACCCTGAGGCCCTCATTTACCCAGCCCCTCAAGGACTCTCTCCTTCATCCTCAGTGCTCTAAGCGATGCCATTAAAAGGCAGGACCAGGCAAGACCTCAAAAGTCATTCCATCCCATCCTTTCCTGTTACTAGAAAACCGCAGCCCAGTGACAGGAAATGATTTGCTCAAAGTCACACACAGCTCCTTAATGGCAGAGCTCCCCACAGCATTAATCCTTGAGCTCCCCATTTCCCCACCCCTTTCATAGTTTATTATGTGGTCATCGTGTTTACATTATGACATCCAGCCCTAAGGATGGCTGGGAGTTGCTCAGGCATCTGGGAAAAGTGGGAAATGCTGCCACCTGGTGACAGCATGTAGATTTGGGCAGTAAACAGGGATTGCCAAGCCCCAGTCTTCACGCCCCTTTCCCTCACTGCATCCCCCAACTCAAAACACAGCACACACCCTGCCAATCCAAAGAGAACATTAATACTTGAAGCAAGAAGGCTGTGTGCTCGTCCCTCAGACACAGCATGGCCGGGGAGTGCCAGGCCCTGTGCCCTCCATTCCTAGCTCTACCCAGGGCAGGAGGGCCCTTCCCTAGAGCTACTGAACTGGTTTGTGATGTAGGAGGGGACTGCTGGCAGCTGGTGGAGGAGGGAGGGGCCTGTGGCTCTGACCCATCTGGAGGAAAACCAGATCGGACTCAAAAAGGAAAAAAAAAAAAGAAATCTCAGCAGTGTCCAAACTTGGTTCCTATTAGTTGCAATTGAAAATGTGAAATGACATTGTTTTGCTGTATACTGCAACTTTAATGCTAATGAGCCCTTCTGAGGTCATTATTGAGGTTCATATAATGCCCGAAGATGCATCACGTGGTGCTTTGTTTTCAGTTTAAAGACCTTTTTCTTACAAGGGGAAAAAATGTCTTCATCTTTCTCCCTCCTCCTCTCTCTTTGTAACAACGGGTCTGGCTGGGCTCCTCCCTCCCCATGCTGTCCCCACCAGGACGTGGGACCTTGAGGACAATGGAGGGACAGCCCCTGAGCAGCCGTGTGCTGTCTGCATAGGGAGTTTTCCCGGAGCCCCACTTCCATCCCCAAGGCTGTGGCTGGGCCTCAGCCCTGCCCCGCCCAGCCTAGGCCCAAAGCCGCCTTTCTTTCTCAAATCTCCGTCTTGACGAAGGCATTATATAGAATCGTTTTAATCACTTTCAGATGTTAGAGCAGCGTATTTTACTGGCATTTATATCCATTGCTTTCCTCAGCAAGGCATGTTACTACTTATCATCTAAGGGAAAAAGACAAGGGAATTTTGGTCAAGCATTATTTTCATATTACTAATATTTGCAGAGTAGGTATAGAACTATTTAAGTTTAGACCTTGGTTTGGTAGTTTGTTTTGTTTTTAAGGAGAAACAAAAAAAGGATAAAAATAACCCCTACTTTTCCTGTGTTTTGTATTTAACATATTATTTCTTTAAGGTTACTCACTTCCCCTCCCCTCTCCAAATACTTTGCATTCTCAATCAAAAATGAAAACAATCTGAGAGACAAGAAAAGTGCAATATTATCAAGAGGGATGCCAGGGCTTGTTGGGAGCAGCAGAGGGAGACCCCTTTGCCCACTCGGAGGAAGGCAGGAGTGGGGGGTTGCTGGGAAGAATTATGACTTGAGCAGATGGGTGGCTGGTAGAATTTAATCTCTTTTCCCTCTTCCTCATCCTCCTTCCCTGGCAAGAGGGTAGGGGTTCCCGCAAGAATGTGGCCCCGTTTTTCTGTTCGGTGTCATCCATCAGAAGAAAGGGGTGCTGGGAAATAGCATGGGGCCTCTTGACCTCCTGGGACCCCAGCCCCCTGGGCAGAGCAAGGACTTCCAGGAACCAGTCCTTGTTTTCATTTCAGTTGGTCCACAGCCAGCTGCTCAGAGAGATCTGCCTCCCAGCAGCCCTCTCCCCACACTCTCCTGATGTTTGGGCCATGATCCTTTAATGTATCTTTAAATCTTTCTAAAACTAAGTAACCTCAGTTCATTTTATGGGCAGTCACCCTAAATGGAATCAAATCCTTTCCGGGTAGGGTAGGTGCCTCGTGAGACCAAATCCACAGGCCTGCAGCAGGGTCTGGTGCTGAGCTTGGGCCTCTGTTCATCTCAACTTCTGCCTGAGGAGTGAGCCCTGCTGTTTCTGCCCAACCCCCCAGACAGCCCCTTAGAGGGCCTTGGAGAAGAGTCTGATGTCTGCTCAGGTCTCTCTGAAGACAGAACTTCCCACAACAGGTACTGAGCCCGCCTCCCTCCTTGGCGCTGGTCAAGAAAGCAGCAGGTCAGGAAGTCTCTGGGTCCAGCCCTTGGAGCTCTGTCCTTCGGGGCTCCCAGGGCATCCCTGCCGGCTTGTCCCCTCCACCTCCTGTACTGTACGCTTGCTGCTCCAACCCCTCTATCTGTTGGATTTCTGTACGGATGTGGATGGATGTGCCCCGAGCGGCCCTTGCCCCTGTGTGGGTCTCTCACCTTGGAGTACGTTCATCTATATGTATCCAGTCTTTGAAAATCTTGCTGCAGAGCTCTCTGGAAAGAGAACCGTCCACAGTGCTAAAGAATTAAAATTCCCTCACTTTTTTGAGGGCCGTGT